TCAGATCATGCCCTAGTGAGAGCGCGTATTTGTTTGAGGCTTACTGGACGTAGGAAATACACGGTAAGCGTAGTCAGCTTAGGCCCAGACTGATAAAAAGCCTACGTAACGACCGCGAACAGTGGTGGGTGGCGAAAGCAAAAGCGATGGAAAAGGCAGCGGCGATAGGCAACACTAGACAACTTTTCCGCCTTATCAAAGAAACCGGTATTAGGAACCCGAATGTGAGTGAGACTATCTCGGAAAAGGATGGTCTTATTATCCATTCTCAATCTAGGAGGCTGGACCGATGGGTAGAACACTTTAGGGACCAGTTCAATTGGCCTCGTGCCACACTTCGGTTGCCCACGATCCCCAGTCATCCTGAATGGCCAAACGATTTAAGTCCTCCCAGTCTACATGAAGTTGAGAAAACTATAGGAAATCTAATGCGAAGTAGAGCAGCAGGTCCTGATAGGCTTACCCCTGAAATGTTTAAGGATGATGTTCCAGTTTTAACATTCAGACTGACCGAGATCTTAGGTCGAATTTGAAAACTGGACGTAATTCCATCTGACTGGTCTCAGTTGCTAATTGTCCCAATCTATAAGAAAGGACAAAAGTCTTCTTGTGACAATCGCAGGGGAATAAGTCTAACTAATATAGTTTCTAAATTGTTAGCCTCGATTATACTTAGACGTGTAACTAGAGCTCATGAAGAGCAGACTAGAGAAAACCAGTCTGGTTTTCGACCTGGACGTGGTTGTATAGACCACATCTTCACAATACGACAAGTCCTGGAACACAGACACACATTTAGACGTCCGACAATAGTCGTGTTCCTGGACCTAAAAGCGTCATTCGACTCAGTGGATCGTGAGGTTCTGTGGCAGTGTCTGTCATTGAAAGGTGTACCAGAGAAGTACATTAACCTTATACAAGCTCTCTACTCGAACACCACTGGTCGAGTGAGAGCTTATGGCGAACTGTCATCAGAATTCTCTACATCAAGTGGTGTCCGTCAGGACTGTCCACTCTCTCCATTCTTTTTTAACTTTGTCGTATACATCCTCTTAGAGTTATCATTAAGCTCGTCAGATTTTTCAGGGGTTGACCTTCTACCAGGAAAGTCGCTAACTGATCTAGAATATGCCGATGACATATTCGGCATAATCGGTGAAGACGCAGACAAAATGCAGTCTTCTGATTACGATAAGCAACAATGCCAGCATGTTCGGGATGAGGTTTTCCCCCTCGAAATGCAAAATGTTGCTTCAAGACTGGGTTGCATCGGCACCTGAACTAGTGATAGGGAGTGAAGTAGTCGAGCGTGTTGATCGCTTCACTTATCTGAGGAGTCTCATCAGCGCTGATAGCCCTGTGACTGACGAAATCTCAGCTCGGATACAGAAGTCCCGATTGGCTTTTGCCAACGTGCGTCACTTATGGCGTAGGCGTGATATCCGTTCGCTTACCAAAGGACGGGTGTACTGCGCAGCAGTTCTCTCCGTTCTCCTATATGGCTGTAAAATATGGCCGTTAAGAGTAGATGTTCGTAGGTTACTAATATTAGATCATAGATGTTTAAGAAGCATTGCTCGTATATCGTGGGACAACCGAGTAAGCGATGCTGTCGTTAAGAAACGAGTACTAGGTAGCGATAGCAGATCAATAGATGAAGTGGTGAAACTTCATCAGTTAAGGTGGTTGGGACATGTGTTACGTATGGCTAACCACCGACTGCCTCGACGAGCTATGTTTTGTAGTGTAGGAGTAGGTCGGAAGAAAGCTAGGGACGGCCACACCAAAACATGGCAGAAATTCATGAAGTCACTGACAACAAGTGGACTGAGTCATGTTGGTGAATGTAGACTACCTGGTTGGGGTCCGCGACACGAAAGTCATCAATGGTTAGAGACCTCCTTTTTTGTATCTTCTTGAAGTTTCCTTATTCCTAGCCTATTAGCACTTGTTCTTCTCCCCAATTCTCGCTGAACAGGGCGTGGACTATCTTTGAAGTCTGTTCCCATTGCTTCAGCTGGTATGTTGTCTGGTCCTGCTGCTTTGTCATTATTGATTTATCTGATGGTCATGCTTATTTGTTCATTTGTTAGTGGGTCAACGTCAATTGGAAGGTCCGTAATTGCTGATTCAATGTTAAGTAGGTTCAGTGGTGCTCGTCTATTCAAGAGTTCTTCTAAGTACTCTTCCCATCTGGTTCCCTGTTGATCAAAGTTCATATTTTTATAAATTCCTATCCTTTTTTGAATTAATTTTCAACTTTCTAACGGTTAAGGTGTTCGCGCACAATACCGAAGGTCCTGGGTTCGAATCCTGCGGGGTGCAGGAGTCGTGAATGCTCACTGCTGATGAGTCCCATACCAGGACGAAACGGCCGTGCAGTGCTTCCAGGTTTCTAATAGTGGTCTAACATTGATCGATTCATGGTTACAAATAAAACTTTCTTTTACCCAAAAATGTGTTCCTAGAAAGATTTCTTTATTTGACTATCGTCAATATCTGAACACTAGTAATTTACACATTTTTTGTTTACTGTGTAGAGTATTTGATTTACTTTCTTTCAAAGATTTGAATATAAATTGTACTGACAACTTGCTATCAATTCAAACTGTATATCTATTAGCAGCTACATCATTTCAAACAAAATAACCACTTCCGCTTTCTTACAACGTTTGAATGTTTGTTTACAACAATAATCATATTATTATAGTCATCATGGTCATTTCATCAAAGAGAACATTGACATGTAGACCAAACAACAATTACTACATAAAGTCTGAAATATGTATATATAATGTCGTTATACTTTTTATATAAGACAGAACAATAATATCTTATTGATTGTTAGTCCACATACATATCGAAAAAAGAAATATTAATAGTTGACATTATTATTTCAGTCAAATAAGGTCAATAGTTAACTAGCTGTGTCAACTCGATTTACTGGGTGATTTAGTTATGAGACTAACTAACTAACTAGCCAAATGCGCTTAAACACCTTCCATACTTTTGAACTCATTGATTTCTTACACTTGTTGATTATTAGGATAGGAGCGATACTCACTTACCCAATATTTCATTGTTTAAAAGTCATATTGTAAAAATATGTCAAAGTATATCTAGATTACTTTAAGGTATTATTGTGGTGTGGGCTACTTATACGAACGATATAAGTAGTATAAGAAGAGACGTGAAAGAAGAAGTCTCATGGTCACAAGAGGAAAACAGAAAGCAAATGGAGCAAAAGCAAGAAGTAAATGGAGTACCGACAGGAAGTAAAGGAAGCAACAGCAGAAATGGAAGAAGGCTGGAGCGTTGGAAGCCAGGACTCAAAGATGGTGTGCAAATAGAGTGTTCAATGTCATGTTTTCGTTTTCGTCTTGTTGGGCAATTCCTCTTCCAATGTCCGGTTCCTCCGCAAATATAGCATTTATTATTTCTTTCACCCTTTATTCGTAACGCTGCCACCTCTGGTTGTAATTCTTCTATCTTCTTCACAACATCATCAGCCTGTCTTTCACACGCCACCGAGGTGACTGTTGAGTTCATCAGTTGTCTTGTTACTTTCGCCAGCTCGGTGACGTCCATTGGTTGTGCCGCGTTCACCAGTCTCAACTGTTAGCCAACCTCTGCAGGCACACTTTCAATGAATTGCGACGCTAGCAGCTGTGCTTGCGACTCATCCAAATTCGGCAGACCCCGGCGCAGCAATCTTGTTAACTCTACGGCCAGCACGAGTGGGTCGCCATCCACCGTCAGTCTCGCCTCTCGGAACTTTGCAGCGCGTCCTGCCTATCCGCCGGGATGTCGAACTCCACCAGCAGCCTTTCCGTCCCCACCTCCCAGCCAGCGTCCTCCACACCATCGTACACCGCCCTCGCCCTGCCTCTTAGTAGGGGCCCCAGCACCACCGCCTTCGCCCTCCGCTCCTTGGCTCCGACCAGCTCCGCCACGGCCTCGAACTCCTCCAAGAAGCTCCTTACATCTCCGTCTTCGAACTCCCGAGGCCATGGTATCTTCATCCTGTGTAGAGGCAGCGACACCTATTGAGAGGACTGAGGCAGGCGCGGTAGATTGTATTTAGCAAATTTACACTCTTAGTCAATTAAAAACGAAAACATTACATTGAACACTCTATTTGCACACCATCTTTGAGTCCTGGCTTCCAACGCTCCAGCCTTCTTCCATTTCTGCTGTTGCTTCCTTTACTTCCTGTCGGCACTCCATTTACTTCTTGCTTTTGCTCCATTTGCTTTCCGTTTTCCTCTTGTGACCGTGAGACTTCTTCTTTCACGTCTCTTCTTATACTACTTATATCGTTCGTATAAGTAGCCCACACCACATTATGACTGTTATTATATATTGTAAAAATCATTATTGCTCACTTTGAGATGGTGGAGAAAACTTGTAGCTCAGGTGGATGATTGTGGTGGTGTTTCGTTCTCTGAGCTGGTTGTTTTGGTTGTGGAGCTTTCATTGTTCTTCTGAACAACATCATCAGCACAAACTTCAGATAGAAGTGAAGCATTCGAATTTCTCCACGTTTCGCCACGACAACTCTTCGCTTATATCAATACATACCGACAATTATGGACATACATTCGATTGGGACAATGTGGAAATACTGGATAGTGGGAGGACAAAGAACACTAAAGAATTTTTAGAAGCTTGGCACTTAGGTCAATCAGCAATCAACAAACACATCGACATTGACCCAATTTATCAACCAATCAAAAAAATCATAGGATCAAGAAACCGATCAAAAAGGGGGGCGCAATCAAAACAAATGTGCAAACAACGACAGGTTTAAGGTCAACAACAACCAATCAAGATCGAGGTTAGCAGAACAAGCTACAGGTCAAACGTGGAGAAATTCTAATACTTCACTTCTATCTGAAGTAGTTTGTGCTGATGATGTTGTTCAGAAGAAGAACAATGAAAGCTCCACAACCAAAACAACCAGCTCAGAGAACAAAACACCACCACAATTGCTCACTTTTTTGACCATTTCGTTTTTTGAAATAAAGAGTACACTGAAATGGTGTTGCATTAAAAGACTATATTTATGTTTTTAAAGTAAAAGATGAATAAACGATCACCGTCAATTGAAAATACAGTGAAGTTCTTTTTTTTAACATAAAAATGATTCAAGTCGAAGTTCAGCAACCCGATCGTACCTGCTACCTTGACGTGGTGGTCGGGCTTGTTTATCGTGATGATCAAACCGAACTATGTTGGCTGTAACATACGTTCCTTTATGTGCTACCACTACCAGACAGATCGATTGTAAAACGGTGAGCATGAAAGCAACAACTTAAGGTCAGATGATGAAGTCATATAACTGACCGTGGAGGTGTTTCCCTCGGACAGTAAGCTATAGAAAATCTGAGGCGAGGGAGAGCGGCAAGCCTTGATTAGTTAACCCATAAAATTTCTAAGGATTATGGTCCAGTTATATTGACTGAGTCCTTATGTAGAATTTAGGAACTGAACGGAATCCCGTCTGACCGATCTCAATCACTGACTGTACCTGTCTATAAGAAGGACAAAAGTCCTACTTCGACAGTCACTGGAGAGTCAGTTTACCTGAAGCAGTGTCTTAATTGTTAGGCTCAAAAACATTTAGACGCCCGACTAGAGGTCGCGCGGAGCAGACTCGAGAAAACTAGACTAGTTTCGACCTGGACGTGGATGTATAGACCACATTCATACTACGTCAGGTCCAAGTGCATAGATACAGGTTCAGACGTCCCACAATAGTGGTATTTCGCGACCTTAAGGCGACATTTGACTCTGTTGATCGTGAGGTTCTATGGCTCCGTATGTCACTCAAAGGAGTACAAAAGAAATACATTAACCTTATACAAGCTATCTACTCGAACACTACAGGTCAAGTCATAGCTCATGGTAAACTGTCATCGGAACTGATTACCTCGTTTGATGTTCGACGAAGTTGTCCATCCTCTCCATTCATATTCAGCTTTGTCACAGATGTGGTTTTAGAAATAACTTTTTTAGCTATTGAAATTTTACCGGGCGATCCACTTTTCAACTTAAAATACACCGACAACAGTTCTATTCGGTGAAGATGCTGACAAAATGCAGAGTCCTCTGACCACCCTAAGCAACAATGCAAGCATGTTCGGGATGCGGTTCTCACCCTCGAAATGCAAAATGTTGCTTCAAGACTGGGTTGCGTCGGCACCTGAACTAGTGATAGGGAGTGAAGTAGTCGAACGTGTAGATCGCTCCACTTATCTGAGGAGTCTCATCAGTGCTGATGGCCTGGTGACTGACGAAATCTCAGCTCGGATACAGAAGGCTCGATTGGCTTTTGCCAACTTGCATCACCTATGGCGCAGGCGAGATATTCGTTTGCTAACCAACGGACGAGTGTACTGCGCAACAGTTCGATCCGTCCTACTATACGAATGCGAAACATGGTTTGTCAGAGTAGATATTCGCAGGTTTCTGGTATTCGATCATAGGTGTCTTCGAAGCATTGCTCGTGTATCGTGGGAGAACGGAGTGAGCAATTCTGTCGTCGGGAAACGAGTACTAGTTGAAGATGGTAAATCAGTTGATGAAAGTTATGAATCTTCATCAGTTGAGATGGTTGGGACATGTGTTACGTTTTCCCGACTGCATCTACGAGCAATGTTTTGTGGTGGTAGGAGTAGACTGAAAGACGGTTTGGGACGGCCGGACCAAAACATGGCAGGAATCCATGAAGTCACTGGCAGGTGGACTGAGCCATGTATGTAGGTGTAGACTACTAGGTTGGGGTCCGCGAGAGAATCGTAACGTATGTTTAAGGACTTTGAATGACATGGTTGAAAATCGTTTGCCATGGCGCAGATGCTTGCATTCTTTGTGTTCTTTCAAATTCTAATCTTCTAAATTTCCCATAACTTTTTGTTTCTTCTAAAATTTAATTCACTGAATTGTACTACTTGAATAATATCTTCAAACCCTAATCTTCTCCATTACCGCTAATACTTCTACTACTATGGGATTTGAATTAACCATTGCATCTGTGTGCTAATGTGGTATGACAACTTGAACTGATCTACGTACGTACGAAGTTCTACATTGTAGCTGACTAATTGTTATGAATTAAAAAAACATTTCAGTTTAAATTCAGTACAGATATGAAATAAATGCTATTATGATTGGTGGTAAATAAATCAGTTTTTTTTTAGAAATAACTTGATTAGAAGAGAGAGAGAGTAGATTAGTGACTGTTCCTTAAACTTACTGCTTATTTTTGGTTCCTTCATCTAAAACCGAATTACTAGTCTGTTTGCTTTTTGGTTTGTTCTAATAATCTATTAGTTTTCATATTGTAATTTCTCGGCCAAATTCAAATCATTGTATGCCAATCTGTAACCGCATACAATGATGTTTATATTTTCTATGCTTATAGTAAAGCTTATTCAAGTTGAGAAGTGCTATCAGTTGAAGAAATTTAATTATTTATCGATCGAGACGAAAAAAACAAAACAAGTTACTATTCTTTGCCAACCGTTGTTGTTTTACAAGTCGCTTGCCAATGAAGTTCACACTTATATTCTATAAAAAGTAATCAAGATCAACTACACAACACTGGCAGTATAAAAAAGATTTATCCAGTCAGTATAAAAAAGTTTTTAGGGATTAGCTGTATCTTTATTTAACCAAAAAAGTCTCATTCGGAGAACTTGAATTCCCATGATCTAACAGTCAGGAACTTAAATGTTATGCTATTTTGTTCTTAATGAAGGGAATTTCTGAAGATTGTATTGTTTTCACAGTTTAAATCACGAATTAATCTCAGGTAGATCACCATTAGTCAGTCAGTCAGTCAGTTGCAACGTAGAACTTCTTACGTTCGTACGTACATCAGTTCATGTCGCCATACCACATCATTACAGAGATATAATTGTCAATTCAAATCCAATAGTAGAACAGGTAGTAAAGGTACTAGAAGTAATCGTAGACGTTAGAATTAGAAGATATTATTCACGAAGTATGATTCAATGAGATAAGTTTAGAAAGTCAAAACTAGGGGGGGGTTGAAGAATCCAGAAGATTAGGGTTT